ATTTGGGCCCTAACTCAGGTGGGCAGCTGATGTAAAGCTCACACGTGGCGGTGGGGCTCAGGCGGATTTTGGCAGAAAGATTTATCGTAACACTTTGATGGAGAAGAGCATGCTGGGCCTTATAGGATTCCAAGTAGGTTAAAAGCCTTTTCTTCAGCAGCACCTCCCATTGTTCCCAACACAGTCCATCTCTCCCTTCCTATTGGTCCCATTTTCTTGAAAAACTAACGCCTTTGATCTTATCTCTAATTGCTCTTTCCATATAATATTCTGTCAGGATCCTCCACCAAAGAAAAGCCTAGCTCACTCCTCCTCTCCTCTGTCTCCCTCTCTTGTCTGTCCCCGCTTCCCCTCAATCTCCCTCCCTTCACTTAGTATAACTTGGCCTCATGTCCCATGGACCCTTGCTAATTTGACACTGTCAAATGCCTTCCAACTACATATGAAAGCATTTCAACCAGCAGCATTGTGACAGTTAGAATTGTGTTTTTTCCCACAGTATCCCAACAAAACCATAGCTGCAGTGAGAAAAATATTTTGTGATGTTATTTGATTTATTCCATAGCACCTGGCAATGGAACCGCCACAGCACAATATAAACGATCAAAAGTATTTTCTGAATCTGTTTTACCAATTCTCTCTCTGGTCAATCTGATGTGTAATAAATTCACCTTATGAAATTTTAAAAGTTCAAATAACCAGAGGTGAGAACATTCTTGCTCCTGTCAGTAAATTTACTAACTGAAAGTCAGTAGTACCATATGAGAAATAAACCAGCTTGGTAAAATTTGGGAATGTGAAGAAAACATGAACAGTGGGATAAATTACATGTTGGTGGATAAGAAGGCTGTAAATGAGGCAGGAAGAAAGCAGCACATTGTTCAAATGAGGAAATGGTTTACATTACAGGTTTGGGAATAAAATGAGAATAACTAAATAGGCATTTTGTGAGGAAGTATAATATATGTGTGTCAGTCAAGTAAAAGAAGATTGTGGGCTGGGGAAATAGCTCTGTGGATACCCAAGTGTGAGGACTTGGGTTCAGTTTCCCAGGACCCATGTAAAAGCCAGATACTATAGTGCAAGTCTGTACTCCCTGGACCCCTTGAGAAGTGGGGCAGAGACATGAGAATTCAGAAGCTTATGGGCCAGCTGCTCTTGCATACCTGGCAATATACAGATAGACACCTCTCTCAAACAAGACGGAAGATGAGACCAACACTCAAGGTTGTCCTCCAACCTCCACATGCAAGTAATGGCATGTGCCCTCAGTCACATACATTAACACACACACACACACACACACACACACACACACACACACACACACAAAGTTTTAAAGAGAAGCTTATGCATATACATGTATACACATTCTGTAAGGATGGACCAGATAACGAAAATGAAAGTTTGGGAAGCATTTAGACATTTCCCGATTCGGTATTTAAATCACTCATGTCTCCTACTGTTTTCTCAGAATATTCTTATTTAGTCTGTTCTCTTCATCCCTCGTTCCCTTCCTTTAAAAAAAATAAAAATAAAAACACGAATACACATTCACTCACCCCTCACTCAGCAATTGCTTTCTATACTTTGTATTCAAAGCAAGAAGCAAACTGCCTCCCTAGTAGTAATACTAGGGAGTATTACTACTCCCTAGTAGTAATACAACCAGTCCGTGTGCGTGGTGAGTGGTTTTCAAAGTTTTGATCAGGGATCCCTGAAAAGAATATTGAAATAACTTCTGTCCTAGTTCTTGCAACGTGGGCAGCTGCTCCAGTGCCAGGCCTGGTATACAGTTCTTTCTATGCCAAGCTCCCTCTGTATTCACAACTGCTCCAGGGCCTGCTTCCCCCAAAGGAAACAGCTCCTCCTGCACTACAATCTCCAGCAAACTCAAGTTCCAAGAGTTCAACCACTGCACCAAGAGTAGCTTCTCAGGTGCCAGGCTCCTACAACTCGGGGCACTTTCAGTGTGCTTTCGGCGGCAGTACTGAAAAGCCAGGGGCTTCCCAGACACTCCCAGCTGCTCCTGCCAATAACATTCACCACCACCCAACATGATAGTTTCCCAGAGAATCCCAACTGGCAAAATTCCAGTGCAAACTCATATTTCCAGTACACTACACCACTGCGGTATAGCCATGAGTTCTCTGCCACATGGTAGCCAAAATCACTCCATCTCTTTCTCAACCACAGAAAAAGGAAATAGAAGAGGTACCGGGGAGGAGGACCTTCCTAGGCCTTTCTGTTTCTGCCCTGGAGGTCTTATCACCTTTCCTGCTGTATGTATTCATCATCACACTGCTGTCTGTATTCATGATCACCATTCCTGCTATGTCTGTATTCATGACAACCATCCCTGCTGTCTGTATTCATGATCACCACCATGCTGTCTGTATTCATGATCACTGCTGTCTGTATTAATGACAACCATTCCTGCTGTCTGTATTCATGATCACCATACCTTCTATGTCTGTACCTTTCTAATTTCCTCTCACTTTTTACTAGCAAACTTGTCCTTATCCCAACCCCATGCTATAACTTGCAATACTTTTAACTTCCTTGTCCAAACAACTATGTGGGTTTTAAATCTGGACTGGATGATTGATAATTTTCCCCCTTGTATCTTTTCATAACTTACCAGAAATGTAAATATCTGCAAAAGATGAATTTCCAGTTGTTTTGTATTCTGTACACAATGCTTACAGTGTTTCTGACAAAACCTCAGACCTCCACATTTCCATCATACACAAGTGGAGAAATTAATCACATGAACTAATTTGCAAACCCAGTCCTTAGCAACGTATCCATCAATCAAATCAGACTTGTGTCTTTCTAAAATAACAATGATGCCTCCCCTCCCAATTCTCATTTTTTTCTATCATTTGAATAAACACAATGATACGTGTTCTCATGGCTACCCATTTAAGTCCCTGGATAGGAAGACACAAAACAGACTGTGAGGGGAGGTTGCTGACTCATGGCAGGAGTTTTGCCATACTGTCTCCATGTTTCCCACCACAGTTTTGTTTGTTTTCAGAGTAGTTGTGGTGGTTCTCCCTGAGGGAGCTTGTCTCTTGAACTATCATTTTGCTTGATGCCTGAAGACTGAAACTGAGGACAGTAAATTCCAACGATATTTGGGACAGATGAAAAGTGTACCACCCCAAGGTAAATGAGAGGACAGAGGTCGCAAGGGAGATGGGAGGAGGAAAACTGCAGGCCAAGAGCACCTGAGTTTCAGTAAATGTGCACAGAGAAACAGAGAAGGGGGAAATCAATTCCCTCAAAACTTCCCATGCCCTGTTGCCCCTGAAGTCTTCGTGGGTACCCAGGGTACACATTTTGAACACAAAGACAACTGTAGAAGGCCAATAAACTACTTCATCTCCAACAAGGAAAGAGCAGGGAATGCTCTCCTCTCAAGAGTACACAAGGGAGCCAGAAGAGACACGCGGACATTGAAAAACAACAAAAGTGTGAATGGCAAGTCAAACCCTATTTCTCCAAGTTTTCAGAAAATGGAGCTGACAGGAATGCTTGAAGAAACGATGTGGCACCACGGCCAACTGCAAATGTCACTCTGGCTAGCTCTCATGCTTGGATAAGGGTCTTGCTTTAGGGGCTTGTGATCCAAACTCTCACAAGGGTTAAATCCGCCCTTTTACAGTGGCTCTGTTTCTTATTTAAAACAGCAAGTTTTCCTTCAACTGAGTCCTTCAGTGAAATCACACGAATGGGGGGCGGGGGGCATCTTAAACAAAAAGCAAAGGGGATGTGGGCAGCTTTTACCATTGGGGTATTAACCAGTTTAGCAGGGCTCAGCAGCTATCTTAAGTGTTATGTCAACTATTATGACATAAGCTAAAGGTGTTGAAATACGAGGATGTGTGTTTTCTGAGAGGAAATGGGTGACAATTTGAAGGGTCGGGGTTTTTTTTTTTTTAACATGGAAAAAAAATATGTAAGAATTCAGAACAGATTGTCAACCAACACTAACGTGCAGGAAGGTTTATGTAATTGGGGAAAAGTTCAAAAACTCTTTTAAAACGTTAAGGAAACTACCATTTTCCTGTTATTTCAGAAATATCTGTAAATGCTAGTGTCTTAAGAGAGAAATATGGAGCAAATTAAAGTGTGTTTCACATGCCATGGCTATCAGATTTTTATTTACTCATTCATCCTATGAAACTTCGTAATCCTGTGTTAGATAAACAACGCTCACTCTGGTAAGCCTTCTGGATAGGGCTTCTAGGACTTCACCCACCCAGCTAAACTTCTTTGGTAAAGATTATCCTTCATTGAGTCAGAGTATCCTATCCAGACTAAGAATTAACTATCTGGCCAAAAAAAGGTCTATGTGGTTCCTACATCATTGTGAGCTGCTGGGATTTTTAAAAAAGATGATTTTTAGACCATGCAAAAATAATGTTAACCTCAAGTACACAATATTGTTACCTATACATAAAAAAAATATCTGTTGTATGCCTTATGTTTACTTTAAGTACAGGCATATCCCTTCATTGTGGAAGTATAGATAGACTTCTTGCTGAATATGTTTTAATCTGAATGGTGTGCATGAGTGACTTGCAAAATGCTCCATAAATGGATTTAAGGGTATCAATTGAAAGTAGAAAAACCAGTAAACATAGGAACAGATCTCTGCTCACCAAAATTTCCTTCGTACTTCTGCTAAGGGCAATGGTTGTTAAGGAGGGGCAAAGTTAATGCTGGGTGTTTTTTTAATGCCCAAACAGTATAAAATTAGTCAGTCTGTCATGGAGTGATTAACCAGGGAAGCCTGTAATTAGTCTTGTTTTCAGGGAGCAGACAGACAGACAGACAGACAGACAGACAGACAGACACACACACACACACTATATTTGTAATAGAAAAAGACAGAAACAACTACACCAAAGGAAAGAGTCACAGGTAAATGAGCAGCAAGGAGTCTGCTGTCACATGACCCAACCATACCTACCGGCTTTCAGTATACTTACTTGAATAATGGAGTCCCACAGACAACACATTTATATATTCCAGGATCTTTGTGGTGTGTGTATTCCCCTTCAAAGGCACTGATAAGAAATAAACAGATCGTCAAAAAATATTAACAAAGCTAGTATTACTTCTTACAGAACACGTTGGTTTAAAATACATTTCTCTAGGAAATCTTTCCAGGGTTTTTGGCCCTAAAATGAGAACAGACCAAACATATGGAAAGCTGAACCATACTAATATACTTCAAATATATGTGTGTATAATAAAATGTGCATATAACTACTCCAAACTAGTACAGGTTAAGTAAAAATATCAAGCCATCTAGTATGTAATACTTAGAATATTCTTCAAAATAAAGGGAAAGAAAGGCTGTTGTTTGAGTCACATAAAGAACATTATTACGTAAGACTTCTACTACCCCACACTATGCAAGAGGGGACCAGAAAATTCAACAGGGTCCAAGTCTTCAAATGGAAGGAGTCTGACTTTTCAGTTTGAAAACGAATATTGCAGCTTTAAGGGAATATTTTTCTAAGTTAGCAATCTTAAAGGCGAGGAGGTCATTCGGCTAATACAAATCAGCTGTGGTAGCCCAACAAAAAAGTCTATGTACTCTGCAGCTTGTTTTTATTATCCTTTCACCCTCTTTACGAGGTCCAATTTTTTTTATAAACAGAATTTTTAAGAATGACCTAATCTCTGGTTGTTTGTGCGCATTAAATCATTTTTGCTAGCCATGCACACAACACGGCGGGCAGAAGTCCTCTAGAGCTGAGAATCCTGCCCACCACTGGCTCCAGCGGACGAAGAGGGCACACTTTGTCAGAGATGCCCTGTTTAGTCAATTCAGCAAATAGTAGATTCTGTGACAGTAAGAGCGTGCTGCCTATTAACAAGGATCCCTGTGTGGGAAAGAGCTCTTTCAGCTCATGAATGAAAACACTAAGTTACATCATTAATAAATCTGGATCAGAGATACATTTACAGCTTCATGCCAAGCTCCACAGTATAAATTAGACAACAAAATCATTGGGCCTTGGCAACTTACTTTTTAGCTGGAATCAGCTGAGAAAGACTTTAATCACTACAAACAGTCTTGGAAGTGAACAAACTCTCTCTCTCTCTCTCTTTTTTTTTCTTCCAGGATGTAGGGCGAACTTCCAAGGACCAAAGCCATGTGAGGGCAGTTATTGAAAATTTTTGACATTCCAACCACAAATGAGCCAATAAATACTTTCTCCACATGTGCTTCAAAAAGAAATTGGAGTGGGGTAGAAAGGAGCTAAATTATGCTACCTTCTTTTTACAGCCAAAATGTCTATGCTTACAATGGCCACCTTCACAAATGCCAGCATCCTGGCACAGCTCCATGTCCCTCACGGTTTTCCTCGCTGTGATGTCTTCAAAAAAAAAAAAATCCTAGTACCTAAATCGCTATTACTTCCACACATTTTGTTGTAAACTAAAAACAGGCCCTTAACAAAAGCCCCGTGACTTTATATAAGATAGAACGTTCATTGAACGAAGGAAAGCAGAAATAAAAGTCAGCCTTAACCTAAACAATGTCCCATTTCCAACCTTTTCAAAGACAGTCATTTGCAGGCTTAGCCTTAGCCAGTATGATAGGATTCTTTAAATTAACTAGCAAGGAAGACAACTCTGAGGAAGAGAGAGCAAGGCAGTCCTTGCTTGCTGGCTTTTTATTACAGCACACATTACCTTTCTGTTCCTTTCTCCTGAGTGACATGGTATTGTAGGGGTGTCAGCCGCTTCCTCAGTTCCTGCTGGGAAAAGACCACCTTACAGTTCTTTTTATCCCTACATGACCCTGGAAAGAGAGGACATGGGAGAAAGAGCCTTTTTAGCCTGAATCCTAAATAATTGCTTTGGCTGCTTGCCACAGTACAGCTTCTACTGTCACTTGTCAATGACCAAGCCATCCCTAACAGACTACAAAATCTTATCTGAGCTGAATCTGGTCTCCAAGTTCAAAAAGAATGCACGTGATACTAAAAACTCACTGGACATTGTTTCCAGGATAGCAGTATATCCTCTATGCCACCTGATATGATACCCTGAAACTACATTTTTAAAAGATGAATTCAATATTGTGCGTATATTTGTAAGTATTCGCTACATATATGCATATGTACATAAATGTACACATATGTCTGAGAACGGGCATATAAAAACCCATTCAATAATTTTGCAAATTGGTAGAATAGCTTGAAACCATCACCATTCCATTTTCATCCAAGATGACTTAATTACCATCCTATTTATTTTCCTGAGAACCTAAAAGATATTTTTTTTTCTGCAGTAGGAACTGTTTTCTGTGAGCCCATCAGGTTCTATGTGGTCTTTAGAAATGCATGTTTTTCTAAAGACCCTATCTTACCATGTAAGCAAGAAACTTTTAGTAGACTTCAGGAGAAGGCACTTATATACACTAAGGCAGATTCAAGAATTCCAGAAGGGAGAGGACAGGAAGAAAGAAAAGACACAGGCAAACGGAAGTATGAGTGTGACTTCATTTCTAGGCGAATGCTGTGCTTTTGCAGTTCAGCTGGAAGGATTTCACTGACCGTGGGTATCTGAATGATGACATGATTCGAATGTGACTAATAGCAAGGGTAGTTTTTATTTCAGTGTGTGCAGACTACAGGAAAACATTCAGACGACACCTATTTATGTGTAGTACTTTATTTTACTCGAGCAAACCACTGAAAAGAAATAGAACTCTGAGACAGGACTGCCGTGACTCAGTGTAGTAAAATGACTTTTCTTTGCCACCCAACACAGTGGGAAAGGAACTTGCAGATGGCCCTCCATGCAAAGTTTTTCTACTGGGTTTTGAAGTTAGCCTTCTTAGTGTCCTGAGCACTGACTTCAACATCTTTTGATATAGCAGTGGGATTGCTTCCCACTGTTTACTTCTAAGGTGCCTAGTATAGAATATGAGATTACCCAATTAAACCCAGCACAGATCAAGGTAAACCAGTTACACTGATTGTGGGGTTGAAGAAGGGCTATCAGCTTCCAGAACTGGGGCCACCTAGACAGATGGCTCATTCTCCATCAGAAACAGAGAACCAGGAAAAAAGCAAACTAGAGCCAAAAAGAAGATAACCTTAGCTAGGCCTGCAGAAGCCAGACTCCACTTCTGCTGGCCTTCCTGATCCTTGGTTGGTCCAGAAAGAGACCCAGGAGCAACAGGCACATGGGGAATGGCACTGAAGGCCTCCCATCTCACTGAACCCCTGTTAACACCAGGCTCATCCTGGTGTGGAAAAACCCTGTGACAAACTGTACTGCTGTCCAAGGCATAGACAGAAATGTCTCCCTGGTTAGTCTGTTCAACTTCAATGCAGAAGGGCTTATTTCTCAAACAGTTGGTGTCCGAGATGGTTGAAATTCTATTTACCTCCCTCTAGACTTCTTAAAAACAAATATTTTGCTTTTATTTATTTATTTGTTAGAAGGGTATCTTTGCTAATTTTGTCAAGAAGTTCATTAATTACAAACTTAATGTGACAAATTATCATGGTTAAAATTATTAGTTCCAATGGGCTTGATAATTAAGATCTGAACAATTAGAATTAAGCAAATCCGTCCAAAATATTTTGGGTTACTATATGTTCATTCATATAAAAAGACCAATTGTGTTCCCAAAGTTGCGAGAGCTAAGCTAGCCATCTGTATGTCATTTAGTACAAGAGAAGCAACCGCAGGTTTAAATTACATGGTATTGGATTGCAATTTCCTAACATTGGATGCTTTTCTGCTTTTTTACCTTGAGTCATTTACCAAGGAGTGTTCATAAAAAGTAGCTTCAAGCACAGATGCTTGCAAATCACTTAGGCAAAGATGTTTCTCTCTTTTTTTTCATTCTACCTCTCTCAAACATCTCTTTTCTGAAGGGAAAGAATAAGACTGTTGGTCAGTATTGATGAACCATGTCATGTATTTGTAAGGAGGGTGTATTTGTAGGGGGTGTAGAATTGAAAACATCTGATTGAAGTAAATAATACAAACATAAAAGCTTCACTGGTGAATGAAGGGTATTGAAGAGGCCTTATTTCATAGATTAGAAATTACTTTTGATCTAAACATTCTTAAAAACAGATTGTTTTCCGCTATGCACCATCTCATTAGCTGTGCTACAGAGACCCCGTTTTTAAGGGTGAACTTTGAAAGGGACCCGCTGTACTCTTTTGTTAGAGTCCCCATCTTATTTGGAAGGGGGGAAAGCTTTCGTTCCAGCTTGCTTTGTCTTTCAAAAACCACGGAAGCAGTATTCAGAAAAATTTTGGAGGAATTCGCCCTGTGTCACAGCCTACAAATTACTTGGTTTTGGTGCACCTAAAGGTCATCTTCCAAATTAGCAAAATTTTCCTACATCCTGGCTTCTCAACATTAAATATAAATGTTGTTTCCTAGCTGTAAGTGAGGTTTACTCTCTGAGAAAATGCTGGTGATGATTTAAAGTGGTCAGACTTTGTACATTTTTATTCTTTGGCCATACTGTGTTCTCCAAATAATTAGACTTTCAAAGGATGCCTAATAGCAAAAGGAAGATATACATATACACATGAGAAATGGTTATTGTGATTTTTGTATTAAACAACTCAATGAGAAGCTAGAGTTTAATAAAAGTCTCGCCTCACTGTGAAATAATAGTAATGTACTTCTTGGATAGCTGACATCTGTACGAATGTATAATTCTTCTAGCATAACAAACATTTGATGTGTACAGAGAAAAGCTTCCCTTCTGTCCCTGAGTCCTCTGGCCCCTACCAGACTGACTTTTCTAAAGTCACATGGTACCACTGTTAATTCTACAGACATCATTTCATTTTGAAATTTGAGAGTAATTCATTGGGTGGTTTCCCTTTACTATCTTCACTTAGGTACTGTAATTTTCTTATTACACAGGGTAATTTAACATTAGTGTTATACGACATCTGTTCAATGACTTCTGAATTGGCTTAGAAGTATGCTACGGAGAGAGGTATCCCTTTCTTTAAAGGTTTAATAGCATTACTTTGAAGGCACAAGTGTCGGTGTATATACACATGCAACATGGTACATCTGAGGAAATAATATTACCCCCTTCGTATCTAATCATAACCCATTCTCTACAGTGTAATTTTTACATGGATCAGATCTATCTTGAACCCAATCCCAAGGTATTTACATACTGGAATATGCCCAGTGTCTTTTTTATTTATACCAAGAAGTCTTACATGTTGCTGAAGGGAAGAATTGTGTTGGAACTCCAACAGGAAGGTCTTCTCTATATAGACACAAGAGTTGACTCTCTGAGAGTTGGAGGTAGAACACACCTGAATCGCAAGGCTTTGTCACCAACCCCACTTCTAAAACAAATAAGTTTGCATTCTGGTTCTGCCTGCTTCCAATTGTGACCTTAGATGAGTGTTGCATTAGATCTGCAGCTATAGGATGGCAACACCTGGGACTTAGCAGGCCTCAGGTGCAAAATCACAGTGGACACTGATGCTAAAAATCCACTTAAAGAGTAGCAGCTTTTAAGTATTTGTGCACTTTAGTATTGAGTGGTAATTACTTTCTATAATAATTCTCTCAGAAAAGTGTTTTTCTAGTAAGTTATCCTTTTAAAATGAAAACAAATAGGAAGTGAGGGAGAAAAAAAAACAGAACTAAAAATTCAGTTCTACCCTATACCATGCACATTTCTAGACACATTAAGTCTAGAAGGTAGAATCACGCCCATTTCACAGGCACAAAAACTGAGGCTCACAGAATTGGTTATAACATAACTTACTAAGGAGACATATCAACTCAAACATACTGTTGTTGGACTGTAAACCCATACCTATTTCTGCCAGAAAAAAAAATGCTATAAATTTCTTCTCAAATTACCCAGAAAATTTCAGGGATTAAAAAAAATCCCTGGCTAACAAGTTAAGACACTAAGTGGAGAAGGGTGGTAGTCATGACAGTTCATAGAAAAGTAACAACGTATGCCCACTGGCCAGTGTCACCAATGTCTACTCCTTCAGCACAGGACCAGTGGCAAGTTCATACACGATTCTCGACGTGTCAACAGAATCCCAGAAGGCCCTTTAATGCCCTGTTAGGAAGCAGATAAGCTCTGTCACCTGAATGCTGAGGGCATTCTTGAATCATACGTTTTATAATCCAGTGTGAACAATCAAAATAAAACCAAACCTAAGGATCTCAGAATTTTAATTTCTGCTCTGGGACTAGGGGAAAAATGAAAATATTAACTATTTTCCCAAAATAGTAAATGAGAGATATGTATCTTGTTTGGATTTAACTCCATTAAGTTAAAACAGTGAAGTTCTGGTAGAAATATCTTGCCACTGTGTTGACTGATGACATGAAATTAAAGCACATGTCAATTTTTAATTTAATGAACTTTAATTTCCAAGTGCACATTACTCTGTCATGTTGGACAACTATTTTATTCCAGGCTTAGTAGTGTTAGACTTTCTAAGTAGAAGATTACACAGCTAAATCTAGACCACTTTGAGAGTCTATACTACAAACAACTTTTGTTTGTTTGTTTGTACTCTTCTTTTTTACAATTCTAGTAAGTCAATAATGGCCTTGAGAACAAAATTGCAAGTTTCCAAGGGTGAAAGTCCCTCTTTATAGAAGCATCTTCCCTTCTAACTTTTCCCTCAGAGTAAGCATATACATGGGAAATATCCCTGACACTATTACTAACCCAAGGGTATCAGGATGTGGCGTCAAGCCTCTGGCTTCCACAAAACCAGGCCTGCACTCCTTTCCTTAAGAGAACTAACCCAAGACTACTTA